AAAAATAAAAAAAATAACATGCACATAACATAATTCGGATAACATAATAAACAAAAATAAAAGTTTAATACAACTAAATCACAAAAAGTTCTAAGCTCCAACTTCCACCATAACCAAAATAAGAGCAAATTTAATACCAAGTATATATATATATATATATATATATATATATATATATATAATTATATGCTTAACAGGGCGGGGCGGGGCGGGGCCCCTAGGATATGTATACTGAACCCTTACCCGCCCCGTGACCCGCGATGGGTACAAAATTTGTATCCATGCCCGCCCCAACGGTATAAAAAGTGTTCCCATATCTGTTATTAATGGGGCGGGACGAGGCGAGGCCCCGGCAGGGCGGTAAAAATTGACATTCCTATACACATGCAGAGCAGACCTATGCCATGGGCCCTCAATTTTTTTTTTTTTCAAATCCCCGTTATATAGGATTTTAAAATAATTTAAAATAAAATTACTAAAAATTTTACTTATAAAAAACATATTAGCCCCCCAAAATTTTAAATCCCTATTTAAATAGTTGAAATCCAAATAATTCAAAAATATTTTCTTAAAAAAAAAAAAATACATTAAAAGGTTACCCCAAAGTTAATAAATATTCTTAATTTGGAATTTTTATGGTTCAATTTTTTCCGAATCCAACACTCACACAAACAAAATATAACCCATATCTTCTTCTTCTTCTTGTATTATTAATTTTGAACTTTAGAATATATATACTTTCTGTCCACGAACTAAATTTGTTCCACTTTGAAAGTGCCGGTTTGATGCTTTTAAAAATAGGATGGCAATTTGTACAAATTTCATTGATGTCCCAACCCAAAAGCATCATGAATGTAATTTGTCCAAATTTTAAAGGAGATTACTGAATTTATTCTTAAATTAATTTGTTAAATTTATACTATAATAATCAATTTATTGTCATTTGGTTTGGGAATAACATGAAATAAAGCAATAAAAAAATGATTTTAAGGTGGCTGGATTTAGAGTAGATTATCTGACTTAAAAGTTTTGATTCTTCCGCAAAATATTTGGGAATAAGTATCATCTCTGAGTAATATCATAAATTAGTAGTGGCTTTAGCTGTTAAGCTTGCTATTAACTTCTTATTTTGATATTTTTTTTCAACAATTTCTTTATTGGGAATTCCAGCATTTTCTGACTCTCTAGATTTTCCATATTATCCCAACAACTCTCTCTCTCCCTGGTCCATCTCTAATACGATTATACGAAGACGTAAATTGTAATCTGAGTTAAATTTAGCAGTAGAAATGGCGGACGAAATGGCGTTAGACTTGGAGGAGCTTCGCACACTTGAAAGCATTTCAAAGAGGCCTCGAATTGGTTCTCTCATTTCCTCTTGAGATTCGCAGCTAGGAGAGGGTTATATCAACCAATTACATTACTCTTTTTCTTTTTTCATCTTTTTTATCCTATATATGTATGTTACGATTTGAATACCTCTTGCTCTAATTTACATTTATATATACACACAGTTAAATTTGTTGTTTGTGATAATTGGTGCTTCAATTTGTTTCATTGTTGCAGTTTTCATTGATATGCTCTACTTTAAGTTCTGTTGTTTCTTTTTCTGTAAGCACCAAGCAACTATTTTGATTGCTAATGTAGCGAGACACAGACAAAGATATATAGTTTTAGATTTTCAGTAGAAATGAAAATAGGGAAATCGGGAAATACTCAATAATATTTGGAATGTGGATCATTATGCTAGGTGAAATAGACTAACAAAGCTTTATACAACTCCATGTTAAAGACAATAAATAAGTTCATAAGCTGGGCATAAATAGATTTTAGATTGCAAACTCGGCAAGGGTGGTGCTTCTGCTTCCGCTTATTGCCATTTAGGACTGGTTGAACAGTAGAGCCTTAGAAGTAATTCACTTTATTGCTACGCACTCGATCTCAATAGGAGAGAGAAGGAATCAGAAGTTCCACTCTATAAATAGCTTCTAGCATACTATATTAATGTTGCAGCTTAGTGGTATCTTCTTTTAACTCCCAAAGTGGATGGTTGAGGGTTTTAGTTCCCAGAAAATTAAAGTGAGTATGTCAATGAAAAAAAAAAAAAAAACTTTTGACATAATACCATATTAGGGGACCTTATATCCTAGATGTAAATTCAACATTAAGATACATCTAAAAAAGATTTTTATTAAATCTCCATGTTGTATGTTATTTGTGGCAAGCATCTTGCTCTAAGCTCAAGGTTCGGTATTCTCATATTGATCATTGATTTGGGGGTCGTAATATGACTCAATCACAGTGAATTGTATCAACAAATTGCTAAAAAAATATTAGAGATAATAAGAATAACAAGTGGATGCATGCATATTTGTGGCAAGCGTCTAGCTCTAAGCTCAATTAAGGTTCAGAATTCTCATATTGGTCACTGATTTGGGGGTGAGTAAGATTACTCAATCACTGTGTCTTGTATCAGCAAATTGCTAAAATATACTAGAATATGAAAAAACAATCATAAAAATATTAGAGATAATAAGAATAACAAGTGGATGCATGAAATTACTCAAATATTACAAAAAAGACGAATGCATGCATATTTATCTTTTTCTAAAAGAATCATCAATATCCAATTATATATTGTAAAATTTTGTCATTGGTTGCATCTTTCTCTCTCCAGTAGCCGGGTGCAAAAATATAAAAGAAATTCACATGGAAAAAATTGCTTAAAAATACAAATTTCTTTAATTTGCATGCTCGTGTGCCTATAAGTTCACACTTCACTTTGTATCTGTTGAAATGAGTAAACCCTTTTGTAATCCTGGCAAAACTTGGAAAAACAAAAGATAAGGTTTCTTGATATGTTCAATTCTATATATCCTGGATTCTTATTCTTTTTTTTTTTTTTTTGGTGAGGTATAAATCTTGGATTCTTGAACGAGCAAAAAGGTTAAAATTGAGCTTGAAAACTTCTTATATGATTTTTTATGTCTTCTTTTTTGGTTTTGAAGGATAAGGGGAAACAACCTTCTTAATTAGGACCACAGAGAGTGGTCGTTTAATTAAGCTCTTCGGAAATGGAAGTGAAAACTAACAAATTGTAAAACAAGTTCTTTGTAATAGACTGTGTAATGACAGTCCATATATAAACACTTTAGAAAAAGTATCTCCTTTTCAATCTAAAAGGGATTCGTGAGAGAGAGATTCGTTTACACTCCTTCAAGATGGAACATGGAAGCCCATAATATATATATTTTTTTGGAGGAGATGTTATCTTCTACTTAATAGGGTTGTCATGATGCCTAGAGGAACATTATGCTTAGGTGAACTTCTTTAATTCACAAATGATAATTTTAGTTTTTTCTTTCACATATGCTTTTTAAAATCCGGTAAACTATAAAAAATTAAGTCATCATGACAGTAACAATAAACATTTGCTTTACTTCTTAATATTCTGACCGTATGATGTGCAAAACTGTTATGCATAGTAATTAACCAACGCTTCACGGAACCATGCAATAATTTGTTCTTGATTTTCCTTCAATAGCTGTCCAAAGAGCTAGGCTGGTTCTACAACAATCTCACAAGTTCCTGCTCCAATTTCAATTACAAAGGTGATGTCTACTCCATCATTAATCTATGTTACGCTTGGATCTTTCAGCTGGGATCAAGATAATGATAAAGTCAAGGTGAGTGCCTATTATGTTACTATACTTTTTGTTAACTTTAGAAGATTTATGTGAAGCCATATAACAAGTACATAGACAAAATAGGTGCTCTGATTCATGTGGCATACCCATTTCTTATGGGATTAAGGCAAGGATGATAATGATGATTCATCACAACCATTTAACATTTCCATGTGAGCCATACTGGCCCGACTGCTGTCTGAGGCAAAGAGAATTTTTTGTCCAATGAGTCAATTAAATTTACTTGTTACATTTGATGTAATGCTGGTTCGATTGCATCATTTTTGTCAATGAAATATGTTTCATTTGTTTTATCTGGTCACACTCATCAAGTTGTTTGACTTCTTTCTCCCTGCCAGTTTTATATCTCCCTAGAGGGAGTTGGGCAGGAGAAAGTGGAGACTGTCTTTAAGCCAATGCCCGTTGATCTCAAATTTCATGACATCCAAGGGAAGAACTATCGATGTGCCATACCAAAACTAAATAAGGAGATTGTGCCCGAGAAGTGAAAGTTGATAGTTAGGCGTACAAGGGTCATCATCACATTAATTAAGGCTTCAAAAGGGATCTGGTTAGATTTGCACTTCAAAGAGGATAAGGTAAGTGCCTATTATGGACTAAAAAAGTAGGTGAATCTTATACTGATGGATGAAATAGTTGTTATTAATCTACTGAATTTTATGATTTATAGCTGAAGCCAGATCTGGATAAAGAAAAAGATCCAATGGCAGGAATTATGGATTTAATGAAGGCGTGTTTTCAATAGTTGTTATATATGTACTACTTGCCTCAATAGCTTTTTTGTACTTCTTTTAAATTTAAATTTAAATTTGTGTGCAGAATATGTACAAGGAAGGGGATGATGAGATGAAACGAACAATTGCAAAAGCATGGACTGATGCGAGATCATGGAAAGCAGCTGACTGGCTATCGTTGATTGCCTACTTCTTTCATGGTGGTATGTTGGATGGTACAGTTATTTTGTATTTAAAGTGCTTTGGAGTTCGTATCAGGATAACTTTTTAGAGTTGTTGTGACAAAAGTAATTTATTCATATTACTTGACTGAAACCATTGTGTATATCCCATCCATGAGTGCCTTCATAGTTTTGGCTAGCTGACATATTTTTAATACTGTGATACCTTGAAAGTAAATCCTCTTACAAGTTACCTTTGTGCATATATTTTAACGTGAGCTGTCCATTTGTTGCTGTTTTTCAATGGCATGCTCTCTTGAAATTACAATACTTATATGCATATATATAGAAATAAAAACTACAACTACGTAGAACCATAATACAGTGATCATTGATCACTAGTGTACGGAGGAAACAAATGAGAGTAGGTCTAGGTCACGTTCGAAGATAGCCATGTCTTCTTCCAACAGGTTCACCCATGCCTCAATTCCATCCCCTTGTTTGGTGTTCATCAAAATAGTGAAATTTTTATAGGGACTATTGGGAGTGCACACCCATGTAGGCTTGCCCCACCCAAAATCAACCTCATAAAAGGGAAATCCACACCAACTACTGAAGCCAAGGGCCTCTATCTCACCCTTTAAATATAGTTCACGCATGTTTTTGGATGAACGCATAGAATTACCATCATCCACTTTTACCCTTCTCACATGGTCGTCATTGATTTCCCTTACAGCACTCCCTATCAAGCTTGCCAAGGCACCTAAATCTTTGTCGCCATCTACCATTGTTGGTGCCATTACAGTTTGCCAAAGATTTCCAAAGACATGATTCGGCAATGGTGGTACCATCTTGTCCCGCAAGTTCACTACATGAACTGCAACGCACGTCTTCTCCGGTTTGGGTTTTGATCGAATTGTCGTCATAAAAGTGTTTCAAAGGAGTGCTGAAACCACCTGAACGCTAGTTGGAGAGTACTTTAGCACACCGACACAAGATGATGATGCACATTCTTTGAGGGCAACAATGTTAAGTTTGTCAAACACAAACATTTTGGTCACGATCTTCTCATTTCTCGTCTCTGTCTCGCGCTTCAATCCTGGCATATCTCTCGGTGGGAATAGCATTGCTGCGTTGAAAATGGGATGTTGTTCCTCATCATCAGCTTCACTGCTACAAAAACCTCTGGAAATAGTTGCCCAAGCGTTAACAAATGTAGCCACAGAAGCAGCATCAGCGATCTTGTGTGAAACACACACACCAATTGCCACTCCTCCGCAATCAAATATATTGAATTGAACGCCTACGAGTGCTTCTCTACATCCAATCACATTACCATATGGATCAAATGGTAGCAACTGGTTGAACAACTCCACATTCGGTTTCCCAATAGATTCAGAAAGCTTGCAGCGCACCCGGGCTTCAATATACTTGGCACCTTCATTGTTGCAGTCAACTGAGAAATCTTCCCGGATTGTCCCCGCCAACGGGTAATAGCGACTCAAGCATTCTCCTAGAGACTTCTTGAGCTGGTTTGATCTTTCCAAATGATCATCATTACCGTGTGAATTGGTATCAGCAGCATGATCATAGAAGAATATGGTGGGGACATAAGTTCGACTTGCAAGTTGGTCTAAGAAAGAGAGTTTAAGGTTTCTGAGGTGTTTGGGTGTTGGAGATGATGCTTTGATTGTCTCTTTAGAGAGAACTTCAATATTCATCATCGTCACACCCATCTTGAGTTCTTTCAGGTAATGTGAGTTGCTCTAGGGAGACTTCAAATTTGTGCTTATATAATTTGTGTGTGTATATGCGTGTACATATTTTTATGCATGGGTCAGTCGTGATAACGAGTCCAGCCTTCCACAAAACAACATTAATGCATCAATTTGAAATATTTTAACTGCTACCATATAATATATATTTGGGACAAATTTTAAGGTATATATATAATAATAAAATGAGGGGCACCTGCAAACTGTATAGGATACTAAAATTTATATATGCAGAGGAGTTAGAATAGAGTTGATGATATACATTGCTTTTGTTGGGCATATTAAAAACTTTGCATGATCATTTTTCTCCAAGTGGATGCTAAAGGAAAAGTAACCATTATTCTGTGGTACTAAAATGTCCTGTAATATATGTCTATTAACTTGGTGTCCTGTAATATATGTCGATTATGTGAAGTACCAAATTTGTTTATAACTAGTCAAATGAAATTTGAATATCATGAAGTTTGCACTAGACTTTCGGCCGGCATGTAATTAAACAGACAGTCCATTAGCTGCCTGTGCTTTCAACCTTTTGTGCCCACCAGTTCCTTACATTGCTCAACTTACACGTTGTAAACTTGAAGGACTGGGCTATCCCATTAGCAATAGTCTTGGACTTTGTGATGGGCTACGATTGACTGTCTTGCTCTGGCCCAGCTTAATAAAACCTGTCCGGATCAGATAGCCCATTACCCACTATTCTTTAGTGATGTTGCTAGTTCTTGGCACCTCTCTAGTTTCTCAAAAAGTCAATCAAACAAGTTTTATTTATTTATTTATTTATTTTTATAATAAAAAATACACTAGACCTTTAAGTGTGAAATCGCATCATCAACTTGATTGGCTGTACCTCCCTGCATACATTACAAGTTTCTTGTTGTCATATATTCAAGTGACTCGATCGCGCCATGCAACGGTGTACGATCAAAGTTGTTGTTACTTTTTGGGTTCCGTTAGGATATAAATTTTTTGTTTATTTTTTGATGTTTGGTTGTAGTAAAATATTAACGAAGAAAAAAAATATTAAAACTTAATAAAAATAATTTATACACCAATTTTTGACAAATTATTTTATATGTTCCACCCAATGAACTCGACTTAGATCTTTGTTAAACACAAAAAATAAAAATATATATATTTTAATTCAAAAAGAAAAATCATTAAAAAAAAAAAATAATTTATGTCCAAACAAATGGAGGCGGGAAAGATTTGATAATATCAAATTCTGTGAAAGCCCAATGTCAAATAAGTAGTTTTTCCTTCAAACTGAATTCTGATTGACAAAGCCACACTATGCAAATTGGCCCAATCTTAAGAATTCTAGCTCAAAAAGTTTAGTACTATTATTTTGAATATATCGTGTATGTGTGTGTTTGGTATTGAACTCGAATAAGTAAAATACAACTTCTTTTTCAAGTTATTAAGGATGAATCAAGACTTTAACTGTGGTTTTGGCAACTTAAGGAATGCCAAAGTACAAGGTTCTTAATTTGCTATGTCTTTTGAGATCTGTTTTATTCAATATATACAAGTACAAATAGAATATATAGAGATCCACAGATCATCAAACTCTATATGGAATTCTTACTACATTCTAAAATTTAAATTAGACTAATACCAACTTTGTTAATTGCAATTAGGAATATAAACTAATACTACAAATTTTAAAGTTTTTTTTTTTTTTTTTTTTTTTTTTTTTTTTTTTTTTTTTTTTTTTGACTACATATAAAAATTATATAATTAATTTAGACTCCATAGTTGGCCCCCGCAAAAAAAAATTAGGGCAGCCGCGAAGAGCCTCACTTTCCTCATTCAGACTCGAAGAGTGAAGAGAGCAAAGAGGGTTTCAAGCCTTCAACTTCAAGGTCAGAGACTCTTAGACTCAGAACCATTGAATCATTGATCGTGATAGGCTAATAGGCTTGGCCCTTGGGCGATGAATGATGATTGTGAACCTCCAGCGTACCTCCAGTTCTTCTTTTCTCTCCCTTCATCTACATGATTACATCTCTCTATTTTTTTTTTTTTTCTATTTTTACCCGTTTTCTCGTTTTATTTTTTATTTTTTTTGGTGTCAATGTTTGCATTTAAGTTATAAACTGAATGCTAGCTTTAGAATTTCTTATTTAGAATTTCAAGTCAGTGGTGGACCAGTGGTAAAAGATTGAAGGGAAAAGTGGAAAACTAGCAAATTAGGTTGTTTTGGATTCAAAACCATGATGAAGCTATGAACTTGTAAAGTGAATTACACAAGATTTAATGGGTGCTATCAGAGCTAGAGCAAATTCAGTTTTTAAATTAATGACATATATTACTAATTTACTAACAAATAGAAATGGTTTGGCTCATGAAATAATGAAATAAAAAATAAAATCTAATATGAGAAACAAACACAAACTCCATCTAATTATTTTGTTCAATCTCTTTTAATTCAGGTAATTATTCTGAATATGTCAAAGCAAGGCTATTGGAACTAAGAAAAACTTGGAAAACAAATTCTAAGCTCACAGAGTTCACCGTTACGGTACACCAACTCCATCTAATTATTTAGTTGTCTTATGCACACTACTACATCGGTGCACAATTTTTTGTTGGTGGTAATAATTTATAATTATTAGTTAGTTGTCTTATGCACACTGCACATGCGCACATTGTCAAGATATGAAGAGTTTAGATACAGCACAGGCGCACAATTTATTTTTTAGACACTGCATAGGCGCACAAATTTTGTGGGTGATAATTGTTTTATTTTTAAAATTAGTTGTTTAATGCGCAATGAGGGTGCGCTGTTATTTACTACTCAATTATGCTTATTAGGAATTTAGGATGGTTTAAATTACAATGCGAAACCCTAGATATTAAAAGTTTATATTTGAATTACCCTCTTTAGGTACAATATTATTCGATGGTCAAGCCAAAAAGAACTATTGACTCATTTTTAAAAAAAAAAATGATGTGCCTTTTGCTGCTTCTGCCTGTAATGTTGACCAAAGTTTGGTTAGATATATTTTTGTATGCATCTAATCGATAATGAAATATTTTTGGCTTAAAATATTATTATATTATATTGGTAAAACTGTCAATACTTCAGCCCCCCCATACTTTGAATCCTGGCTCCGGCCCTGTTTACTCGAACCCTCACCATCCACTTTGGAAGGTAGAGAAGACACAATTGGGTTGGTAGTTGAACATGTATGTTTAGGGTCAATTTTTAAGTTACAATAATAAAATGAGGGTCTGTTGGCTTTTATTCTGATACCACTTTGTTAGAAATAAATGGATTAGACACACAACACTCAATATTTAAGAAGAGAAAAGGATATGAAGGAATACTTGGATAATTATTTTTTTCACTTCTACTATGTCATCTTATTCTTCTACTCATATATAAAATAGGTCCATTACATGAGTTTATATAGGATTCTAGCTAGACATATGTAACCAATTACATTTTAATGTCTATAACTCCCATTACTCCCACTAACATAGCCATTAGCAGCATAAGTCTCACTAACATAGTATTTAGGAGGCTTAATTATCATAACTCTTGATTTTACATAACCTTCAAAATCACACTAACTCCCCCTTAGACAATATACTACCTACTGACATGCTAAATGCACACATACTTGAAAGTACTAAATAACAAAATCAAGTTTATTTTCCAACAGGGTCATGGTAACAAAAGTAATTTTTGTCACCTGTCTTGATTTTAGGAAATTATTACATGGTTTTGAGATCATTGATCCCAACCAAGCACAACGCGACACATAAGTACAAAAAAAAGTTGACTAATAATGACATAAAACTGACACACATTTGTTTATGTATTGCTTCAAGACAATCTTCTAGATTTGGAAGGATTGCTGGTAGATTAAATGACACTCCTCGAATGCTTTGACCCTTTCAAAGTGTGATCGCTTCACCTATGTTCTTCAAGATCTAGATTTGATGTAGAAGAATTAAATATGCTTTCTGTGATCGTTGTAGATGCAATATTCAATAATACTTTGATCATGATCAGGAATTGAACAGCACTCTAAACTCACTCTTGTGTTTATGTGTGTGTTCTAGAAAGAAAGACAGAAAAATCAGATGTGATTTTCTGCAAAAATATATCTCTATTAGGCTTTCTATGAATCAGAAGATGTAATGTAAAAGCCGTATTAACCTAGATGTAAATCGAGGTTTATATAGAATTTTCAAAGACCTAGATATGCATCGGAAAATGTAATTTTTTTGCATAGGACTTTTGGAAAAATTCTAAACCAAATAAGAAGTTTTAGACAAAATATGAAACAATTGCCTAAACTGTATCAACAGTTGGAACCGGTAGCTAGGAAGTAAGGACATAATGGATTCTTCTTAGTTAAGGTTCTTGAACTGGTTCCCAAGTTTGGTATGGTTCCCACTTGACAGAATTTTAAAGAAGGTTTGAAACTTGGAAAAAAAAAATTCCTAAAGTGTTATTCATACGTTTTTCATAGATGAAAGATTATTAAACTTGAACAACCTTCCAATTTCAGAACCGATCTCAATCTTGATATAGAAACTTGAGAATTACAACTCGATCGGACTTCTTTTGACATCAAAATTTGTCAATTACAAAAATTATATCTCACAGATGTGTGAGATATGTAGTTTCAATGAAACTAAATAGAGTACCAACCTGAAAAACCCCCACTCTTTTTCTGTATCGGATTACTGGGTACATTTTTTAAAAAGTTATTAGATATTTGTGATCCATTAATATTTAGTGGGCCAGTTAAGTCCAAACTCTCTAATTAAGAAAATGACAAACAAAAGTGTATTAATATACATATGGAAAATTCTCAACATTAAAATTCATTAAATTAATCCACCACGAATGAAATAAACTAGAAGCATCCAATAATTTCTCTAAAGTTTGTCCTCAAATAAGTGCACTGTATTTTATAAATAAATAA